GGCCTAAATAAGGTAAGGGAGGGGGGGGGGGTAGCTTATTTAGGCCACATTTTTCCTTCAGGAGGGGCAGAAGCTAGGCTACCATTTTGGCACACTTTGGTCAATGAAAAGGTCAAATCCTCCGAATGGACTTCCGGGTCAAATTTGGGGTATAAAAAGTGTGTACACAACGTGGCTGAGTCAAAGTTACACTATCTTTGCCTGAGTGGCACTCTGTCGTACTGTCTCGTAGTGGTAGGCTACATGTTGTAGTAGTAGCAAAGATCGTGTAGAGAATCTGTGGTAGTAGATTCTATCTAGTAGGCAGTTTAGTGAACGTGCACACGGCAGGGCGAATCGGCCTCGATAAGCCCCGTAGACTTTTGTGATCGGCCACGAAGCCTCCTGTTTTGATGGATCTAAACAACTCAGTGTTAATCGCACTGCCACATCCCACAGGCCTACATCTTTTTAAAAGGAAAAGAAAGATCATCAAAATGGTTGAATTCGCGTGAAAATCGATTCAGTAGAACTGGAACTATTAAAATTTGCTTCTGAAAATAAGGCAATTTTTATAACTCTATGAAATAAAAACTACTGGCTGTGTTATTCTGTATAAATTATGAAACTTCAGGACGTATTATTATTTTTCAACGTCTTTTGACGCCTGAGCTGTAGAGGTTGAAGTTTTCACAACACTAATAATAGATCTAGTAATAGGGCTTTCCGTAAAAAATGCATAGATCTACAAAAGCCGAACCCCCGAACCGACCGGTCAGCGACCCGGGCACACCGCTCTTCCCTGCACACTGTTATAACGTATTGCTTCGGTATTGCATTATATCAACTATTAATACGTGCGGCTATGGCAATTGGGATGTACTGACTGACAAAACAATTCACCGTTTTGTTTTTATTTTACCATATATTTGACTTTAATAGTGCAGGTGATAGCTAGATCTAGATTCCCTGTCTAGAATCAGTAGTAGCAGGCCTATGCTAGAAGCAGCCAGAGAGCCTACAACTGCTAGATCTAGATCTAACTTGACTTATTGCTATGCCTTTGGGCTTTGGAATTGAAATAAAACTAATTGCACAGTTCTAGTTAATTTTAGATTCAGCAGATAACTGTATTTCCAGAGTTAATAATAACAAATCCCACCATAACAATCACTTTTACTTTCATTAGAATAATTAGTTCCAACTTTTTTTCTAAAATCTGTTTTGCGCAAACTTAAGATTTTCTCTACTTGTAGAGCACAGAATTTACATTGTAAGCCTCTGCTCAGTCTTTTAGTATGCATAATAAAATACATATATATATATATATATATATCTATATAATCATTTTATGTTATTTTCTGGATATTTTAAAAAACTCTTTTTTTAGCATGTCATAAAATCAAATTGTGCCATTTTCTTTGATAAAAATAGCATTAGCAGTGGACTTTCTAGACAGCGAGTCTCTGATTCAATATTACAAAAAAAAATGCTAATCAATGAAAATTGCAAATTGATAATAATAGTATTAGTATAGTCCTGTAGAGGATAGGTGGACTCCGGGGTCTGCATAGCGAAATAATAGGTTTTAGGATGTGAACCCCGGAGTCACCGTAGTGAAATAAGGTTTGGTTTAAGTAAGGATTGGTGGACCCCGGGGTCAACGTAGTGATAAATAAGCACGTTTAAGGTGGACCCCGGGCCCCGGGGTCACCGCAGTGAAATAAATAGGTTTCTTTAAAGATTGGTGGACCCCGGAGTCACCATAGCCATAGAGGATTAAGAAGGTTTAATTAAGGATTGGTGGACCCCCGGAACACCTTGATTAAACCTACTGATTTTAATACGGTGACCGCAGGATCCACCTATTCTAAAACCTAACTAGTGTTTTGTTAGGTAGACCTTGGGGTCCACCTTAAACCTATCTATTTCACTACGTTGACCCCAGGGTCCACCAATCCTTAATTAAACCTAGATCTACTGATTTCACTACATTAACCCCGGGGTCCACCAATCCTTAATTAAACCTATATCTACTTATAATTTCACTACTTTGACCACGGGCTCCGCCAGTCCTATTATAAAATAAACTGAGATCTACTTATTTCACTATGTTGACCCCGGGGTCCACCGATCCTTAGTTAAACCTAGATCTACTTATTTCACTACGCTGACTCCGGGCTTCACATCCTAAAACCTAGCATTTTGTTAGGTAGACCCCGGGGTCCACCTATCCTTTTGGCTAGATAGACCCCGTAGTCCGCCTATCCACTTTCTTGATAATAACTGAAAACAATACATGCCAGTTGTCATTTATAGTGAAGAAAAATGAGGGGGGAAAAATATAATTAGGTAGACTTTAATTTGTCCAAAAAATTGCAAGTGCAAGTGAAGATCATAAAATAATTTTGTTATTTTCTGGTCACCTTTCCAAGGACCTTAAATTGATTCTACATCACATGTCATGTACGACACGGCTGTGAAGGAAAATGGATGTGAAGAGTTTTAAAGAAATAATAATGTAACTTGTAAAGAAAACAATGCTTTACATTGGTTTGGTTATTTTGACTACACATATGTGGCCTAAATAAGGTAAGGGAGGGGGGTTTAGCTTATTTAGGCCACCTGTGGCCCAAATAAGGTAAGGGAGGGGGGTTTAGCTTATTTAGGCCATATGTGGCCTAAATAAGGTCACCCTTTTTTCTTGTATGTGTAAACATGTTTGTGCCAGTTCTTCTTCTTGCAGTTTGGTTGCAATTGAAGAAAATCACTTTTAAGGG